TTACAATAAACATGACATAAATTCACACTAGGGATTCATTCATGGGTGGTAAAGGTCGGCTAGGTGGTCGGGGAGTGGAGGTTGGTGGCTAAAATAGTTTGTGGATGGTTTAGACAGTAAAAGAAGGGGTTGAATTTGCGTTGGTAGTGAATTGAAGTTTGGGATAACAAGGAGTAGTGAAGGGTAAGGGGTTGTGAACTGTAGGATGCAAGAGGATGTTGTGTGGTGCAGGGGCAGCAAGTGGGCGTTGCGGGGACAACAGGATAGGCTACACTTCCAATGATAGCTAGTTGGAATGATGGTTGGACATTAGGAAAACATATTTGTAGTTTTTTGGATGGAGGCAACAAGGATTGGCAATTAGGAGTGATGTAGGAAGGTTGAGGGAGGGTGGAGGCGACAATGCGGGATGTCAACAAGATGGGGAAGGGTAGGAGAGAACGGAAACTGCAAGAAAACAAACAAGAGATCGGATAATAGTTTTATTATAGACCAGATTATAGTTTTACCCTTCTCTTCTTGCTGTTGAAGAACCTTTAAGTTTGTCTACCAAAAAGATGCACTCTTCCTTAATTTATTGAATGCTAATTTCATCATTCCGTCTAGTGGGACTCCTACACTCAAAAATACATTCCAATGTTCAGCATCACTTGATGACTTCGTTTGAATCCGTGGCTGTCAAAATATGACAAATCTACCTTTACTTTAAATTTGGCTTCTCCAATATTTTAGGCCAAATCTTCGGAATAGTCGTTCATCTTCTCTGAGATCGAATGAGATTTTTGTGACCCCTCTGGATGGTATTCTTTGCTCAATTTCATCAAGCCATTTTAGCATTTGAAGGAGTTGTTGTATTTCCTCCATGTTAAACTCCCGAACTACGTCTCACAACTGTCTCCTCGAAAGCATGATTAGGTTGAAGTATGTGTGCAATGTTTTTGTAAGGTTGACATCTCACAACTGTCTCCTCGAAAGCATGATTAGGATTTGAGTGTATGTAGGTTGAAGTATGTGTGCAATGTTTTTGTAAGGTTGGGAAATAAGATATGGAAGATAGGGAGTGGAAAATTTTACCGGGGGGGAGTTGGTCGAGATACGTTTGGGTATGACAAATGTTAGAATATCTTAAGGTATGACTAAGGTTAGGCTACTCTAAAATCAAATAAACTCATTTGACATGTAAACTATATCAAACATGCCAACTCACACTAGGGCTTCATTCATGGGTGGTAGAGGTTGGTTAGGTGGTCGGGGAGCGGAGGTTGGTGACTAAAATTGTTTATGAATGGTTTGGATAGTAAAAGAAGGGGTTGAATTTGTGTTGGTAGTGAAGTGGAGGCTGGGACAACAAGTAGTGGTGAAGGTTAAGAGGTGTGAACTGCAGGATAGCTAGAGTGTTGTGTGGTGCGGGGGTAGCAAGCGGAGATTGCAGGGACAACAGGATTGGTTGCAGTACCAACGGTAGCTAGTCGGAATGATGGTTGGACATCAGGAGAACAACAACTGTTCTGTTTTTTTTTTTTGGAGGCAATAAGGATTGGCGACTAGGAGTGATGCAAGAAGGTCGAGGGAGGGTGGAGACGACTGCGCGGGTTGTCAACAAGGCGGGGAAGGGAGGGAGACAACTGAAAATGAGGAAAATGCAAGAAAAAGAACAGTAGTAGTTATTGTCATGGGTGGCCACAAGAGGGACAGAGCTTTCGGGAGCAGTGTGGGAGGGATGTTGAAGGGGATTGGGAAGATAGTCACTACCATGAGAAAGAGATACAGCTTGTGACGCAGGGCTTATATCTGTTGCAGTTGGTGCTACGGTGGAAGAGTTGGACCGGCCGGTCTAGCCAAAAGATCTCTTAGGTTAGCCGACCGGTCCAGGAGAGCTGCCGCCCAATGGAGAGGATCCTCCCTTTCAATTCTGCACCCGCCTCCCTTTCACTTTCTACTCCCTCTCTATTCCATCCCTTGCCTTTTCTAGTTCCTACCTAGTCCATCCCTTTCCTTTTCTATTACTTGTTGTTTTTATTTTTTGTCACCCATTATATATAGGCTACTGTGCTTGGTTAGAAGTTGGTTTTGATTTGTGTCTGATTTTACGATTTCTGCCTCCGGCGTTTCTCCCTTCTGAGGGTTGTATCCGACGAGGAGAAGGTGCTCTGGTTGTAACTCGTCCGAGGTGGTAACTATCTGTGCTTGTCCCTTCCCTTATTGTTGCCACCTTCCATCCAACACCAGTTTAACTGCTGCAGGCCACCCTTTGCACCTTCTCTATTGCTTTTTGCCGCCTCTAGTAGTTGTCCTACTGCCACTAGCCCCTTCAGCACCTTCCTTGTTGTTGTTTGTCACCTCTAGCACTTGTCCTGCTATCGCTAAGACCTGTCGGGCTTTGACAACCGATCTCTCTTGAGCGACCATAACCCATAAATAAAATCAAAGGATAATTAGCACTTTACATAATACTGTAAGTAACATAGAGAAATAAAAATCTTATTTTACATACATAGACTCGCCGAGATCTGTCTGTTAGTTTTAGGGGTGCAAATGTATTCAGTCATGCAACTCAGCAGCGGTGGACTCCCGTCCAAGCTCCTGCCTTTGATAACATGTATAAACAATAAGTACCAGATAATTATATAAATGAATTGTTGAGTATTGAAAGAATCTTACCAACTTCCTTCAGTACTCGGTATGCGGCACCGAATCTCAACTGAGATTTCTTTTGTATTTGTTCGCCAATTCCTAAATATTTAATTATTTACATATCTCAACTACTAAAAAACTTTAATGCATTTATGCTAATAACACTCAAAACATTCACATAATATTAATACCCCCACAATAAAAATTGGTTTACAATTACAAAAGAAACCAGGGGGAGATCGAAAATGATGGTTACCTCGGAATGAAATCGGTTTGCCGAAGCTGAATATCTTGTCGCTCACGTCACCAGAGAGGAAAACAATCATTTGCATTGTCGGAGAGGAGAATAGCTAGGAGCACCGGAGGCCAAATATCGCCAAAGCCCTAAGAGAAATGGGAAGAGAGAGAACGAGTATTTTAAGGCTTAGCTTGGGTTTAAATAGGCTATCAGTGAAATCTCAGGTAATATTTCCATTTCTACACTTTTGTGGTAGAATCTTTTACTGTTAATCCGCCCTTGTTGAGTGAATTATCATACGTCTGAATACACAATCGGTTTTTCTACTATTAAAATATCACGACGAAATTATCCTCAACAACGTTGGACATCGAAGGAATCTGGCATAACTTTAGCTACAAAAAAAAAGGGCCAAAAAAATCGGTCGGAAATCTGTTTGTAATGGGGGGTATTTCTGTAGTGTCACTATATAGACTAGAGATTACAACAATCCAAGATTACAACATCATAAGTTCTTGATCGTATTCATCATCATTTCTACATCATTTATTTTACGCTAAAGACAAAATTATTATCCTTTAATCTAAACCCTAAATCTGCTATTATACATTGAATATTAACGCCAAATGACTAGTTTTAATCAAAAGTTTATTTTCATTATAGATAGGATTAATTAATTGTTGTGGCTTGTTTCTATTGGCAATATTGAACCCAAAATCTTGAAGTTCTCTCAAAATGATGATGAAATCTCCAGTTAATGTCTTATTTAAAATTATAATGTGTTTTCTAAACAAGTGAATTGAAATATGGCAAAAATGCTCTCTCCTTTAGAGAGGCTGGGTGGCGAAGGTTTGAAGTCTACATCACCATGCATTTTAAAAAATACTTGCGACAATTTAATAAATAGTTGCATAAAGATAAAATGACAATTTCTTTTTTATTTTTTGTTTTACAAAAGAATGGTGGTTGTTTCTTGAAATTGTGAAAGCACTAATGTTTTTACATGCTTCGGAAATTAATATAAGGTGCTGTTTTAATTTATTAAACAAATCAGGCTTGTTAAAGGCTCACTGGATTGATTTAATACTAATGAAGGGATCAAGTTACCTGTTTAGGTACGTGTTATAATTAAGTTCATTGAAAACTTTTTAGTATTTAAATATAATAAATCGATTCAAAATAATTATGTTATTGTTTTATTAAGAAATTTGTTTATGCTTTGTATTAAAGCTAAAGATTAATTAGATTTTTAAACTGTCATTTTATTTTTTTTGTTTAATTGTGCTGATGAAGTATGGGATAATAATTAATTTAATAGTCAACATATATAATTGGTAGTTAATTATTTGTACTGACTAGGTCTTAATTACCTTTAATTTATCAGTATGCAATCGTATTAATTAAGCATTATAGTGCTAATAAACTAATTAATAATAATAATAATAATAATAATAATAATGGTTAATTATCAATAATTTAGCTTAATCTAGAATTATTAAGGTGTTAATTAATATTAATAAACTTTATTTGCATTTAATTATGATAACTAAATTCAGGATGATTAACTAACCTATAGGTTATCAAAGTAATCAGTAACTAGATTAGTACTTATTTAGGGTAATCAAGGTTTTTCTAGCTACGGATTAATTTGAGTTTTCACCAAAAGTCATCAAAAGTTTATTAGTATTTATTTAGGGTTGTCAGGCTGGATAATTTATTAATTTCCGTAGTGATTAATATGTAATCATTTGTTATGATTTATTGTGAATCAGTTAGTATTTCAATTAATGTTTTAAGGCAGGCTCGAGAAAAAATATTTAATTAATTAGAATATAAATTAGGCTAATTTTTGTTCATTGGTTTGTGATTATGATGGAAACTTAGTTTGATTAAGGATTAAATAAGATTTAATCGAGAAAATAAACAGTTTGATATGATTAATCACAAATTAGATATTCTTAATTTTGATAATTATGTTTATTGATTTTAATTTCTATTTTTGGTTTTTACAAGCAGAGAAAAGCAGACTATTGAAACATTTATTTCCCAAGCATGGCTAAAACATTTTCCCAACATTTCTTGTATTTTTTAGTTTATAATCACATTCTCAGCTTAAATTGCTTAACAGTAAGGAGAGTGCTGGTGATTTGTTTTGCGGGAAGGAAAGCAATGACAGCAATTGCTTAGACGATATTGCCGCTTCCAGGCATGGCACACATGAAGTTAGCAGGGCGACATCTGAAAAAGCTGGACGTGAATGTTCGGGGAAAAAGATTGAATACTCTAAAAACCATTTTGTTAAGCCTCCTATGCTTCAAACTGGCATCCTTCGCACTAACTGCATAGATTGCTTGGATCGTACTAATGTTGCTCAATATGCTTATGGTTTAGCTGCGCTTGGGCATCAACTGTATGCCTTGGGCCTCATAGATGATCTGAAAATTGATTTGGATGCCCCATTGGCTAGTGAATTGATGGGTTTCTATGAAAGAATGGGTGATACGCTTGCACTGCAGTATGGTGGATCTGCAGCGCACAACAAGGTAAATTGGCGAAACATTGAACATGTGTCTTGATTTCAATGTAAATGATTAATAGCAGCTGTAAGCCTACATATTCATTTGACACGCTGTGTTTAGATTCCATTATGTGATTTATATAGCTTAAGAATTCTTTTATATATGAATGTATGCTCAATCTTTGTTAAGACAAATGCCATCAACATGGATTTTCCTCATGTAATGTTGCATATCTTTTTCTAAGGCTTTTGACTACCTTGTAAATGGAAATGGTTTTCAAAGTATTAAGAAAGATACTTCACTCAAAGCACAAAGTAATCTACCCTTCGGTTGTTTTCTTTGGTTTCATTTATACTATTTCAATGAACCCACTTTATACTCCTTGAGATCTTTTCTTAATAAATCTTTGTAAACAGATATCACTCAAAGCACAAGGTAATCTACCCTTCGGTTGTCTTCTTTGGTTTCATTTTTACTATTTCAATGAACCCACTTTATACTCTTTGAGATCTTTTCTTAATAAATCTTTGTAAACAGATGATGTTACGATTCTTCCCTCTAGATTGTTTGTGGCTAGTGTTTTTGTTGAATTGGATTTCACCATTCCTTTGAATAAATTTGTGGATTGGTTCCTTATTTAGTGATCATTGGTAGAAGGTAGAATTTTAAGGCATTCTTTCCTACTGCTCTTCTAAAAATTTTATTCACAATAATTCTAAATGTTTCAAAGTTCTAAAACTGAGGAAACAAAAAATTTAAGTGCAATTGGAGCAGTTAAATGATCAGATTCTACCTTCAAATATGATAGTTGCAACTCCTACTTCAAATCAAGCGAACTTGGGAATAGACTGTAGACCTAATGGAATCTAAATCATGTGAGCCTGCCTCTGCTATCCTATGCTCCATAGATATGATCAGCTCCTCATTTGCATTCATGAACATTGATCTTGATCATCCTCATGTCTCAGCACCTCATATTATCGAGGATGCTGGCTTTTTTTTAGTGCAGCCTTATGGTTTTAATGAGAGTTTTCAAAGTATCGATGCTATTACTGGATAGGTGATTTCAAATGCTGTTTGCCAGGTTTGGAAGGCATTAGAAAAAAAATTATCATAGTTTCCCAATATTTAGCACGTTTTACAATGACACTCCAAATAAGTGCTTAGATTGTCTTTCTTTTCTGTCTGAGGGATACTTCTTCCTTTATCTCTATGTTATCTTTCTTTTTATTGTATTTTTTTACTTTTTTTTTTGTCAATTCTTGGTGATTATCTCCTGCTGTACTCATTTTATTAATTTTAAAATTATGCTTTAAAAGCTAAGGTGTGTTTCTCTGCGTTCCTTTCTAAAAATAAAAAAATGAAGTGCTATGGATTCTCATATGCTCTGTAGTTGTGTGAGAACTTTGGAGAATTTTATTTAAGAAATTTTTAACAAGTCCCACTGGTTTGTAGTAATTTTATTATATGATTAATAGGGAATCCTTACATATATTTGCTCTTTTAATCAATCCTAAGTCTGTGACGCTTCCTCAAGTGGCCAATATCTTGTTTTAACTCTCTTTATGGTTGTAACAGGTGACCCTTGAATTCAAAATAAAAAAAATGATCAAATAAATTAAAACCAATAATTACTCTTGCCCAACGATTCTGCTACCGGTTCTCGCTCTATTCAATCCTCTATTCTTTTTTCCCACTGGTAGTTTTATGCAAGCCACTTTCTCCACTCTCCTGATCATACACAACAACTGAAGCCCCCGCTTCACTTCTTCTTAGTTGTCCCACTTTCGCTGGTACTTAGCCTGAGCACTCATTTATAGTCGAATCGCACTTGATTTCCTCTCTTTTTTTAACACTCCTGGTCCTCTCTGTGTTTGTGAGCCCCAAAGCTGAAAATTTCCACTCCTTCCACTCTCATTCGTCTCCCACAAGACTTGGCCTTCCCTGTTCTTCCTTCCTTCAGTTTGAAACCTGCATGAAGCCCCTCCTACTTCTTTCTTTTTTGTTGCAGCAAAATGAACCTTTCTCTTGCACGTATCTGCCTTCTCCGTCGCATCGAATTGAGCTCTATTCCTCCCTATTGCACTGTTTACCTTGTCCAACGCCACGAATTCACGTGCACTCCTTTTATCGCACGCACCTACACCTTTGTCTTTGTGAAATCCCTCAAGTAGAATGAAGCTAAACTCTCGAACATCGAGGCGCTTTTTGGCGTAACAGTTGGGCTTTAGATAGAAACTCTAAAGTTAAGCGTGCTCATATGCAGGTTGTCCTTGGATGGTGACCTGCTGGGAAGTTACCCTAATTAAAAAGAATCCCATTAGGAAAAAACAGACAATATTTTGATGGATGAGAGTTTTGGCTATTATATAATGGTGACTGGTTTGGCAAGGAGGAGCATTCAGGGGCGAGAAATTTGGCGCCAACAGGTGAAAACGTGGCACCAAACTAATAGCGGGGCATCCCCACGCCAAACTATTAGTGGGGTGCCTCAAAGCCATGCCAGTGTTCTCCAAAATGAAAATTGATGTCGACAAGCAAAAACATGTCACCTTGAGATTCATTTCCAGCATTTCAGAAACAACGCATCCGGGTACTCGTTGCTCGGGACAGGCAATCCAATGGTTGGAAAAACGAATCCAAGGCTGGAGCGCGTGGAAAGTAAGCACCTAGGAGGGTCATGACGGTGCTTAGATGACAGCCTGCACCTTAACATTAAAAAACCCTATGCTTGAAAGCAGCGCCCTGACACTTGCAACTAACTCTGCAATTTGAAACTTGAAGTTCCAAATTCTTCTCTGCCGGAAGGGTAGGTGAACAGCATAAATCGGTGTCTGTGAGTTGTGAGTGGATTTATGTGAATTTCTCTTGTGCAATCAAGAGAGAAGGAACGTTTGTGAGTTCTAGGATTGTTGAGAGGATTTCAATGGGGTGTAATCTGCACATTTCTCCTTATTTCATAATGAATTTCTTAGTGTAGTGCTACTTCATTGTTTTTTCCCACTCTCCATTTTTTCCACATTAAATCTGTGCTTTATTTTTTGGATTTTTTGTTTGTGCGTTTTTGTTCAATTGTTTGCTTCAAATCTCTCGAAGGTTATTTTTCTATAATTCTAAGGTAGTGAATATTCCACAAAAAGTGGTACAAGTGCAGTGTTTTTTGAAAATCTTTGATTTGAATGGGAGCAAGGATCTACGAAGCTAGGTACAAGGTGGAGAAGCTTCATTGTACGAACTTTGCGTTCTGAAAAAAGTCAAATCAAAGATTTGTTGTTTTAAAAAAACTTTATTTACCATCGGAAGGAACAAAACATTAAGCCTAAATCCATGACTGTGGAAGATTGGAAAATTTTTTATCAAACAATACTTGGTTTGATCCATCTTTGATTGAAGCGGGGCTTATGGGGAGGGGCTGAAACAGCTTTGCAAGGGTGAACCGGCTCAGCAAAGGTGATAGGGGGCCTACCACCCCTTTTCTGGTTTGGGGTTGCCGCCCAAGGTGTGGGTATTTCCCCTCCTAGTTGTCTACTATTATAAATATGTTCTTTTCTTTGTTTAGGGATGGTTTTTACTACATTTTTCTATCAGGACAGCGGTAAGCATCCCCATATTTTCCTCATAGAGCGGTATATGAGGACGAGTGGTGCTCCGGCTATATCTTGCTCTGAGGTAGTGATTATCCCCAACTTCTCCATCCTTCGGAACCTGCCACTCACTACTCTTCAACCTGCGCACGTTCCCTTCCCTATTTTCTCTACCAACAGTTCTGATCGCTTTCATGTTGTTGTTGCAACCCATGAAATAGTCCCACCTGCTATTGTAATACCTTTCCTCCTACTCCAATTTTTCTACTGCTTCCGTTGGCCTCTCTAGTACCCCCACCTACTTCCGCCCTACCCTTCAACAATTTAACTTGCTGCCACAAACACCTCCAGCACCCAGACTTGCTGTGACACCCTCTCCAATACTTCAGCTGTTGTCGCAATCTACCAGATGGCCCTTGAACTACTATCTAGTCAGCATTCACCCCTTTCCTCGCCCTGAGATATTGATTGTGTTTTGTGCTATTTTTTTTCCTATTTTAGAGTTGTAATCCCGTTTAGAATTTCAGCAATAATATTTCCCTATTTTAGAGTTGTTGTAATCCCGTTTAGAATTTCAGCAATAATATTTGCATTTTTATTGTGATTTGGGTTACTTCCGATATTAATTGGTATCAAAGTTAGCTTAAATCTAGTCCTATCCTAGAGTTCCCTAGCTTCCACCATACCCAAAGTATCTCCACCAAAAAGTTTTCTTGCATATCATCAAATACTCTTTCCACTCTAATAAATACCAAATCGTAATCATGCCACGAAGATACATGCTCGAGCCTACCCTGAAAGAGATATAGCTAGAGATCTGTCGGCTCAACTGAGGCTTGCAGATATGGATTTTGGAAACTAGGGGAAAATTACTCTTGATCGTGATTGAGAAAGTTGAATACGAGAAAGGGATGAGGACATGAACCCTTTCCATTCGGAGGACTTCAGTTATGAGAAACACAGTCCTTGACATTTCAGAATTCATTATTAAAGAAGATCAAGAGAGAAGACATCATATGGAGAACCAAGAGATTTTGGAATCAAAGTGGACCTATAGGGGTCGATGAAGGTATGGATCCTGTCAATTTCATCGAATGACTGCAATCAGTTTGAGAATCTTCGAAATAAAGAAGTGTCAGAGGATAAAAGGGTATTTGGCAGTTATAAAGTTGAGGAAGAGCTTCCTTGTGGTGGGAAAACTTGCAGAGGCAGAGAGAAAGGGCAGTGAAAAGATTACCAGATGACATATGGTTAGGAAAGAGATGCAGAAAAAATACTTACCTTTTAAATACCATCAGGATATGTTTCATAGGCTCCACCATCTACAGTAGAGAGACCTATCAGTGGAAGAGTTCATAGTGTTGTTTGACTAATTGCAGATGAAGTGTGAGTTAGTCTAGCCAGAGGAACATTTCATAGCTCGATATCTAGGTTTCTTGAAGCTCGCTATTAGAAACATTTTCTAGCTACAATTCTATTATTCATTGGGAGATGTCCAGACCTTTGTCTTGAAGGTGGAGAGACAGCAAAAACAGAGCAGACAATCACCAACATTCTGGCAGCCACCCTTAGTTGGAGACATCAGCAGGAGCATGCCTATGGGATTTGGGAAAACTGGTTCGGATAAGGACAAAGACATCCCGAGTGAGAAGCCTGAGAAGAGTAACACGTCTACTAGAGTCCTTGCCTGAAAATGATTTAGATGCAGTATATTTGGCAGCAATGATAATGGGTGTGCCATGTGTACGGTTGTGAGTCTTAGCATTTCGTGCTCTCCAGCAATGATGAATCTCATAACAAAAGCAGCGGGCCTGAGCAAACCTTGTTCTCGGGCAATTGCGGAGGTCTCGAAGAGCTTCTTCAAAGGAAGAATAAGGAAGAGAAATATCCAAGCTATTAGGTTGGCTAGCACTCCACTACCCCTGAAATGGGTAAAATTGAGTTTTGGTAATAGCCTCAATAATGGTAGCAGCAATGATAATGGGTGTGCCATGTGTACGGTTGTGAGTCTTAGCATTTCGTGCTCTCCAGCAATGATGAATCTCATAACAAAAGCAGCGGGCCTGAGCAAACCTTGTTCTCGGGCAATTGCGGAGGTCTCGAAGAGCTTCTTCAAAGGAAGAATAAGGAAGAGAAATATCCAAGCTATTAGGTTGGCTAGCACTCCACTACCCCTGAAATGGGTAAAATTGAGTTTTGGTAATAGCCTCAATAATGGTAGCAGCAATGATAATGGGTGTGCCATGTGTACGGTTGTGAGTCTTAGCATTTCGTGCTCTCCAGCAATGATGAATCTCATAACAAAAGCAGCGGGCCTGAGCAAACCTTGTTCTCGGGCAATTGCGGAGGTCTCGAAGAGCTTCTTCAAAGGAAGAATAAGGAAGAGAAATATCCAAGCTATTAGGTTGGCTAGCACTCCACTACCCCTGAAATGGGTAAAATTGAGTTTTGGTAATAGCCTCAATAATGGTAGCAGCAATGATAATGGGTGTGCCATGTGTACGGTTGTGAGTCTTAGCATTTCGTGCTCTCCAGCAATGATGAATCTCATAACAAAAGCAGCGGGCCTGAGCAAACCTTGTTCTCGGGCAATTGCGGAGGTCTCGAAGAGCTTCTTCAAAGGAAGAATAAGGAAGAGAAATATCCAAGCTATTAGGTTGGCTAGCACTCCACTACCCCTGAAATGGGTAAAATTGAGTTTTGGTAATAGCCTCAATAATGGTAGCAGCAATGATAATGGGTGTGCCATGTGTACGGTTGTGAGTCTTAGCATTTCGTGCTCTCCAGCAATGATGAATCTCATAACAAAAGCAGCGGGCCTAAGCAAACCTTGTTCTCGGGCAATTGCGGAGGTCTCGAAGAGCTTCTTCAAAGGAAGAATAAGGAAGAGAAATATCCAAGCTATTAGGTTGGCTAGCACTCCACTACCCCTGAAATGGGTAAAATTGAGTTTTGGTAATAGCCTCAATAATGGTAGCAGCAATGATAATGGGTGTGCCATGTGTACGGTTGTGAGTCTTAGCATTTCGTGCTCTCCAGCAATGATGAATCTCATAACAAAAGCAGCGGGCCTAAGCAAACCTTGTTCTCGGGCAATTGCGGAGGTCTCGAAGAGCTTCTTCAAAGGAAGAATAAGGAAGAGAAATATCCAAGCTATTAATAATATTCTGCACATGAGTAAGCAATTAAAGATATTATGACCTTGTGTTCATAATCCGAACAGCCCCAAGGGCAAGTTTTGATTTCCGAAAGCCTTTTCCTTGCAAGCCAATAGTGGGTAGGAATGGAATCCAGTGAATGTCGCCACCAGAAAATTATTTCGTGAGGGTGGAGCTTCAAATTTTAAAGCCAATCATACGTGTCCTCAGAAGGTAGAAAAAGAGTCTTATAGGCCATAGCAGAAACAGTTAAACTTGAATGTAAATGGATAAGTTTAATTTGATCTTCAGGAAGATCATTTAAAATCTGGATTGACAAAATTTTGGTTGCCAGTTCAGTTCCAAAATTTTCATCCAGTACCTTCCAGTTCCACTCAACATCAACAATCAAACTAGAAACCCGTGAGTCTTCAAGGCCCGAGCCATTAACTGTGCAAGGCCATTTACATATAGGAATATCATAAATCCACGCTTGATTTAGAGTATCAATATTGGTGACGTTTTGATCTTCCAACGACTGATGGGATATAAGAATTGCATGCCCTCAGAAATAACCTTCAGTGAGTTGGATGTTGTACGGTTGTGCAATTTAGACATCCTATTAGGGGCATAGAAACCTTTCAAGCATTCGTGTGGAAAAGAATTCTTTTTAGACAGAAAATTCCAAGCAATGCGGGCACGTATCGGCCGCCTCTAATGGCTGGCAGCGTGAAAAAGGTTTACAGAGATTTTTCCCAGGCAACATAATGCATGGTGTGATTGTTGGGATTTTTCATCCATAAGAATTGTGTACAGTTTTTTCAATAATTTTCAAAATGCTGCTGGGAACATTAGTATGAGAGATGAGGTACATGAACTAGGAAGCAACGAGGAATTAATCAACTTGATTCAACCCCAAAGATAATTTGCGCACCCCCCAAGCATAAATTTTGGATGCAGTTTTTTTTGCAGAAAGTTAGTAAAATCTGCTTTAGTGAGTTTGCACGAAGCAAATTTAATACCCAAATAATCCATTTCTTGAACTTTTTTAAAATTCATAAATTTTGAGATGCACCATTTTTTCCAATTAGGAGTGGCCCTACTGAAAAGAATAGCAGATTTAGCAACATTCCCTTTTTGTCCTGTCTAGCTACAATAGTCTTGAGTGATCCTCGAAAGAGTCTTTGCAACGTCCATCGAAGCTTCAGAGATTAAAAATAATATCATCAGCATATATCAAATGTGATATCATGGGACCCCATGCATTGACTTTGATACCTGTATCTGGCTCGTGAAAACCCAATCCTCCCATATATGAAGCTTTTTCCAGGCAATATTATATGTCTAGTGGAGTTTTTGATTGGAAGCCAACTGCAGGATTCAAGTGTGGTGCAATATGGTGTGCCCATGGACGCCTGTCATCTTTTGTTAGGGAAATCGTGACAATATTACCACAAAACTCAACAAGATGGGTACAGAAACACCTACTCCTTTAACAAAGATGATAAGTGTATCACCTATCTACCTTTTATGAAGTCGAGACCACAAGTTCACTTGTCAGTAGAGAATCATTCGTGGGATTAGTTTTGGCAATGATAAAGGATGATAGGATTGAGGCACTGATTCTAGACATGAGACAACCATGGCAGAGAACATTTCCGGTCGTCACAATTGACGCCTTACCACCACGGCCACCACCGTTTGAGGAGTTCAGGTTACTGTCACTTCAGCTCAAGTTGAGTCAACCCTGGATTTCCTTGGGAGAATTCAACAGATGATGTGTGACATGATGTCCCAGTTTAGGTGTGTAGTGTACCCCTAGAAGATTGGACGGATATAGATATATGCTCGCAAGTGGAGAAAACTCTTCCGTTTTTTTGCGAGCCAATGCAGTCGACTGTGGGATTAGGTCCTTTAGGGTCGCACGCGAAAATCCTTCAGCCCTGAGAGATTACAATAACTTTATCACTGTCAATATGTAGACGGAAGCTTCAACGAGTGAGGTTTAAGCTCTCTCAATCTTGGGAGACTAACGCGGGACTTAGGGGGAGGTAGATGCCGCCCATGGGGAGGGTCTTCATTCTAGTTGTCTACTATTATAAATATGTTATTTTCTTTATTTAGGATTAGTTTTTATTGTGTTTTTTCTTATCAAGACACAAGCTATTCGTGAATAACGTGTTTTTTTTACAGCCCTAACGGTGAAACTGCAAATTATGCATTGAATGTAGAAAATAGAGGATTGAATTTGGACAATAACATAGGCAGAGACAATGTCAAGCCCAGAAGAGGTCAGGGAAAGAAAAAGGCAGAGGAGAATGCTATAACTTCGAGAAGAAATGTCATTTTAAGGACTGCAAAGCTCCAAATAAGACTGGTCGTGAACTAGATAAAAATTTTGTACAAATATCTCCACAAGGACTGCAAAGCTCCAAATAAGATTGGTGGTGAACTAGATAAAAATTTTGTACAAATATCTCCACTGGTGAAATCCAATGTGACTCTTTAGTTTTATCTCTAGATATTACTGAATCTTGGATAGTAGATTTAGGCGCCCATGCTTGCCTTAACAAAAAATATGTGTTTAAACATTACACTCAGAGTGAACTGGGGAAGATGTATTTGAGAGATAACAATGCCTACAACATTGTAGGAAATGGTGATGTTGATATCAGCTTGTCAAACGAAACAATTTGGAAGCTCAGTGAAATTAGGTATGCTCCAAATTTAAAGTGAAATTAGGTATGCTCCTTAGATGGTCACTTGGATGCCAAAGGTGTTGAAATTACCAAGATCGTTCAGTTTTCCCGATGGATGCTGCTGCCTATTCCAAGCCTCAAAAGACCATCAAAAGAAAAATTAATTTCTTATAAAATTATGACTACAACTTGCATATTTTACCTTGTTAAAGCCTTATTTGAGTTTTCTAGATTTTCCTTTGAATCAAGTTCCTTGTGGAAAAAAATCTTTCATTTTAAACTACACTTGTCTTTAATTCTCTACTTTGTAGCTACATATTCAGAAATAGTATTCAAAAGCATGTCATAATGTTAAAAAATTGCTTTGATAATGATGCATAGGTATTCTCTGAAAGAAGGGGTCAATGGAAGGCAGCAACTCAGTCTCAGGAGTTCTTCCGGACACTCAAGAGATACTACAGTAATGCCTATATGGATGCTGAAAAACAGAGAGCAATAAACTTGTAGGTTCTTACGTCTCTCTATTTTAACTCGATTTTATTGTTCCTTCCTATCATTTGATCTAAATTTCTCTCATCCGATTTCTGATTCATTACACAGTACCTCTATGATCTCATTTTATTTGGTAGGTTTCTTGGATACTTTCAACCAAAGCATGATAAGTTTGCTGATTGGGAGCTCAACCCTGATCAGAATTGTATCGCTTTAAGGCATGATAATGGCTTGGGAATTAATACTCCAAGGTTCTGCAACTATTTAATTTATTGGCTAACAAAAATCTTCATCACTTGATTGCATTAAATCGTGAAGGCAGGCTTTTTCTTTCTTCTTATAAGTAATTATTGAACCAAAATAATTTTTCCCTCCTCAAATTACTTGGTGTCAATTATTTAGAAAGGCAGGTTTTTTTTCTGATTATGTATTTGATATTTGTCATTGCCGGTCCCAAGCCTGAAAAATAGTTGCTTTAGGTAGTCAACAACCAGCGTAAAACTTGTCGAAAAAAAATCATGACATGAATCCTTTTGATCATTGTGTAAGTGTTAGGGCGTCCCATGGAAGCGACGCGCTGTATAGCCTGAATACAGTGAAAAGTGTGCAAGGGTCTCTACACCGGCGCCCGGGTGTAGTGTCAAATAAGCAAGTGTTCCCATATTACGGACGAATGAGGGTAAAGATGTTAGTCCATGAAACTAATGAAACAAATGTTAGGATAGGATCTTCGAATATTGGTACTCTCAATAGAAAATTAGTAGAATTAGTTGATATTATGATTCATAAGAAATTTAATATCTTATGTATTCAAGAAACTAAATGGGTTGGAGAAAAGACTAAGGATATTGATAATTTAGGTTTTAAATTTTGGTATTCTGGCAAAAGTCGCACTAGAAATGGTGTAGGTGTAATTATTGATAAGTGTTTGAAAGATAATGTTGTAAATATTAATAGAGTTGGTGATAGAATTATAGTCCTTAAGATTATCTTTGATATTAAGATTTTTGATATTATAAGTGCTTATGCTCCTCAATTAGGTTTAGATACAGGGTCTAAAGATAAATTTTGGAATAACTTGGAAGATTTAATACAAATGATACCTCTTGAAGAAAGAATTTTTATTAGAGGAGATTTAAATGAACATGTCGGTAGAGTGGTAGAAGACTTCAGATATACTCATAGTGGCTAAGATTTAATACAAATGATACCTCTTGAAGAAAGAATTTTTATTGGAGGAGATTTAAATGGACATGTCGGTAGAGTAGTAGAAGACTTCAGATATACTCATGGTGGCTATGGTTTTGGAGTAACTAATGAAGAAGGTAGAGCTATTTTAGATTTTGCTTTAGCGTATGATTTTGTTATTACTAATACTTTATTCAAGAAAAGGGATGAACATCTTATTACTTATAAGAGTGGATCTAATAAAACACAAATTGATTATTTTCTTATGAGAAGAAGGGATCGTCGAGATTGTAAAGATTGTAAGGTCATTCCAAGTGCGAATTTATGTACCCTAGATTTTAAGATGAAGAGTTGTAAAATAAAGAATACTAAGACTCATCATCGTAGAATTAGATGGGGAACCTAAAAGACACAAATAAAATTATTTTTATAAGTAAAATTAAAATTTTCAAAATTTAGGATGTTCATGAAGAAGCAAATGTTATGTATGATAAAGTAACGAACACTATTAAACAAGTAGCAAAAGATAAGTTTGGACAATCAAAAGAAAAAATTTTTATAAATAAAAATAGTTGGTGGTGGAATAATAATGTGCAAGAAAAGATAAAATATAAGAAGTTATGTTGTAAAAATTGGTTTAAATGTAAAAACTTAGAGAAATGGGAAAAATATCAAACGGCCCGCAAGGAGTATAAAAGAACAATTTGTGATGCTAAAAATATTGTTTTTAATGATCTTTATAATAGATTTGATATTAAGGAGAGTGAAAAATATATGTATAAACTAGCCAAACAATGAGAATAAAAGTAAAGATTTAACTCAAGTAAAGTGTATTAAAGATGAAAATCAAAAAAGTATTTTTTCTTAGAAAAAGATATTCAACATAGATGGGTGAGTTATTTTGAAAACTTTTTAGTTATGTTTTTGAAATATAATCGACATTAGCGATCTTAATATTGTTAATAATAATAAAATGTATCATTTTTACCGTCGCATTAGTAAAAAAGAAGTTGATGAGGCTTTAAAGAAAACCAAGGGTGGAAAGTCGGTAGGACCTGATGATATCCCAATTGAAGTGTGAAAATATTTAGGAGATTTGGGACTTTCTTGGCTTATTAACTGTTTAATATTATTTTAAAAACTAAAATGATGCTTGTGGAGTGGAGGAAGAGTATTTTGGTGCCCATTTTTAAGAATAAAGGGATGCACAAGTGTGCAGATTATAGAGGAATTAAGTTGATGTGTCATACTTTAAAATTATGGGAGAGGGTAATTGAACATAGGTTAAGACGCATCACAAAAATTTCTCATAATCAATTTGGATTTATGCCGGGCAGGTCTACTATGGAA